TTTAATAAATGATAAAAAAATGTTGGCGTGAATTTACTGAATGAATGAAAATACAAACACAATCACCATGACCGACGCGTTATTTCCATCGCGTACGAATAACGCATGACATTTAGAAAGCGTCTACAGCTCCACGAATGCTATTTTGACAGTGTTCAGTTGATGTCACTACACTAGTACAGACAGTCGAGCTATTTACAGGGATAGTGATACATCCTTTGCAGTGGTTTGGAAAAGAAGTTTTTTCGTGTCATTTTTTTTTGCATCGTAAATGAAATTTTATTGTTTTGGTAAATTTTTATAGCTCGTCAGTGCAGTGAATTCAATCAAAAATTATCAACCAGTCAAGAGGTTGCATTAATAAAACTGAATCATTTCATAATTGGCAAAATTTCTATTGCGTACCATTCAGTTTAATAAATTTCCTCAAAGTCTCGATTTTTCTTGCTCCCGCATAGTACAAGGGCGAACGTTTATTATCTAAATCGTAGACTTTGTTTCTTGTGTGGAAAGGGGAATTTTTTGAATTATGAGTGTGGTAAGATTTCGTGTTCGATTCAAGTCTCATTAGAAATGTAGATATTAATGGGTTTTTTCTCCACTTTTGCATGATTTAATCATTTTTGTTCTTGTAATAAAAAAAAACTTTGATTGGACACGTATTCATCAAATCAAGCACCATTCAAAGACATTAATATTTGCGTTAATGACTCATTCTTTTATTATTATTTTTTCACTTTCATTTTTGAATTCACTATTTAAATCATCATTATTGATTTTTAATGTATTTTACAGCGAATGAAAGCAACAAAATGTTCTTCGGAGATATCGTTTACAAACAAGGTCGCTGTCAACAACACCGATTTTCCGGATGAAGTCGAGTATGACGATTATAATTTTTTATGAACAAAAAGTTCGAACAAAGTGTCACAATGAATGTTTTTCTTTAAAAGGTACATTCTAGTTTCAACTGGACCCGGTGCACATTTTGTGTTTTCAATAATCCGAACACCAGAAGTGCCCAAGAATAGCATTGGTTTTTCATTGGTGCAACGAAAATGGGGCGCGATTTCTGTGAATCAAGATATCGATGTGAAAATTCATCGTTTCAATTCATCCAGCCAGACAGAATTTTTGGACACAGTTACATTGGAAGTGGATTTCTTGGCCAAGAAAACGTAAGTTCTGCTTTGCATGAAAACGTTAAGATTTGAGAACTATTTCCATATCAAATATTCTTCAATTCAAATTTAGTATATCTCAAGAGCCTTATGACACCGATAAAATGTCAAAGAGTTTCATAATGCAATTTGCTGGCATGCCATTGACCATTGGTCAACCATTGGCATTCCAATTTGAGGACAAGAAACTTCTCGCCCTGGTTGTTAAATCATTGGAAGCCGTCGATCCGGCTGCTGTTATGTCGGACAAGGACAAAGTCGAACTGAAGAAAACCAGATTTGGTAAATTGCTGGGCAACAGTAATATTCAATTTGAAAAGGCCGAAAGTTCCAGTGTTAATTTGACTGGCAACGCAAAAGGGTAAGTTTTTACTGTTCTCACGTTGTGTGTTCAAAATCACTGTGTCGAATTGAAAAAGTGCTTAAAATCAAACCGCAATACATTTTCAATTGTAGAAAAATCGTGCGTCAGTCAATCATCAATCCGGATTGGGATTTCGGTAAAATGGGAATCGGTGGTTTGGACAAAGAGTTCAATGCAATCTTCCGTCGTGCATTTGCGTCGCGTGTATTCCCACCCGAATTGGTCGAGCAATTGGGATGCAAGCATGTCAAAGGTATTTTACTCTATGGTCCTCCTGGTACGGGTAAAACATTGATGGCCCGTCAAATCGGTCAAATGTTGAATGCACGTGAACCAAAAATTGTAAACGGTCCGCAAATTCTCGATAAATATGTCGGTGAATCTGAGGCAAATGTTCGTCGTCTATTTGCCGATGCTGAAGAGGAAGAGAAACGTTTAGGCCCAAACAGTGGATTGCATATCATTATATTCGATGAAATTGATGCGATTTGCAAGGCTCGTGGTTCAGTGGCTGGTAATAGCGGTGTCCATGACACGGTTGTCAATCAATTGTTGTCGAAAATCGATGGTGTCGATCAATTGAACAATATTCTTGTGATCGGTATGACAAACAGAAAAGATATGATTGATGATGCTCTGATGCGTCCGGGTCGTCTTGAAGTTCAAATGGAAATTGGTTTGCCGGATGAAACTGGACGCTTGCAAATTTTGAATATTCACACGCAACGAATGAGAGATTTTAAGAAAATCAATCCAGATGTCAATTTCCAAGAATTGGCAGCAAAAACAAAGAATTTCAGCGGTGCTGAATTGGAGGGTTTAGTGCGTGCCGCACAATCAACGGCTATGAATCGCTTGATTAAGGCTGCGTCGAAGGTTGAAGTCGATCCAGAGGCGATTTCCAAGTTACTGGTTAACAATGACGATTTTATTCATGCACTTGCCAATGATGTGAAACCAGCTTTTGGCACAGCCACCGAAGCATTGGAAACTTATTTGTCACGTGGCATCATCAATTGGGGAACACCAGTTTCAAGTTTACTCGAAGATGGATCGTTGTATACACAACAGGCACGCGCACCAGAGGGCTCGGGTAAGGTTGATTTTTCTTATTTAAAATGCCTTTTTTTGAAAATAAAATTCAATAATATTCAATTTTGCCCCGCTTCAGGCCTGGTATCCATTTTGTTGGAAGGTCCACCAAACAGCGGTAAAACTGCATTGGCCGCCAAATTGGCGCTTATGTCCGATTTTCCATTCATCAAAATCTGTTCGCCAGACGATATGGTCGGATTCACTGAGTCGGCCAAATGTCTTCAAATACGTAAAATTTTCGATGATGCATATCGTTCTCAATTGAGCTGCATTGTTGTTGACAACGTTGAGCGGCTACTTGATTACGGTCCAATTGGACCGAGATATTCGAATTTGACATTGCAAGCGTTGCTTGTATTGTTGAAAAAACAACCACCGAAAGGACGCAAACTTTTGATTCTATGCACAAGCAGCCGACGGTTAGTTTCTTTTAACATTTCACACTTTAGACACAAAATTCTAATGTCATCATTTTACTGTGTTTAGACAAGTATTGGAGGATATGGAAATGATATCGGCTTTCACATCGCTTTTGCACGTTCCAAATCTATCAACGCCAGACCATGTACTATCTGTGCTCGAGGAAAATGACATCTTCAACAAACAAGATCTGATCACATTGGCGAAACGAATGAAGGGACACAAGTGAGTTTTTACATACTTATTTGATGGCTCGATTCATACCCCATTAAATATTTGTTTTGAAAATTGAATGCCCAAATTATAATTTTTTTTTAACTCTGCAGGGTGTTTATTGGTATCAAAAAGTTGTTGGATTTGACTGATATGGCACGACAAACCGAACCGCAGTACCGTATCAACAAGTTCTTGACTAAATTGGAAGAAGAGGGCGGTCTTGTACTAAATTGAATAGATTGTGATCAGTACGATCAACAGTTACAGGCTCGTGTTGTTGATTTCAACGATGTGTTCTAGGACTGTTGCCCATACGCTTGAAAATGAATTCCGGATGAAAACGATAGTGTCAAACATTTAGCGTGTTCACATCATTTTTTGACATTAATATTTATATAAAACATATTATCACAAACAACACCAAAAGAAATGAAATGTGTGAGAATGTATCATTAATCAACACTAAAATAATATAATATTTATGAAAAGTCTTTATGAACAAACAAAATTACAAAATATAAACGCTTTAAAGCAAAACCCCGCCGTGGACGAGACGAAAAAGATGATATTAATGAACTGGAATTTAGTAAAATCATATTAGTTAATCAGAAACCACAAAATGAACCGATGAATATATATTTTTTTTGATAAGTTACATTCCGATAGTAGAAATCATTCCCAGTATTTTACAGGCAGATAAAGGCGATGGAATTTATACGAATTGATCCAAAAAAAACACATGTCCATAGAGAATTTAGGTATTTCAGAAGAGCATTTGTAGCGTGTATTGTATGACAAACGTGATCGAGTAAAATTATTTATTCAACAAGATTTTGTTAATTAACGATTTTGTTCTGTTTGTACTTAAACCACAACATCTAGTCATCCCTTGGCATTTTTTATACCGAAAAGTCAATTATAACGACCAGAAAATGAACTCGAATGCGTTTTTCGTTCTTCCTTTTCCCCATTTAAGTTTTAAATCCAGAAATTTGGCAGATTCGAAATGTGCAAACAAAAATGGCTTAAAGCAATACGATTATTATTATATTAAAAATAGAGAAAATGAAAGAAAAATATAGAAAAATGAATACTAACTAGAAATTACTAACTGATAAAAAAATAATTCAATTATCTAATGTTATTAAGAAATCAGAAAAGAGATAACCTAATACTTGAAACGAAATAGAAGTTAGAACATGAATATTATATTATCAAATACTGCTCGTTCTCAATTAATTGTAGTTTGATTTCTATTTTAATCTATTCTATTCTATGTACCCTTCGATATCGATCTTTTTACTGATTAGATTCAGTGCATTTGTATGGCTCGACCATGATAAAATATTTTCGAATTTTTTCCTCAATTAATGTAAACATTATTTGAGAACCAATCATTCTTTTTTTTGTTTAGAAACATTTTTTTTTAAGACATAAATTTTTGTTCATTTGTTCCATCATTTTAGTTAAATTTTTACCGACCCAAACTAAAATTGAAGAACTGTAAATAAAGAGTTAAGATCTTGTTAAAGCACTGAACAGATGTGTGTTATAGAAAAATTGAAAATTAATTTAAAAAATCCACGTAAGAGAAAACTGTCATTTTCTGATTCTGCATACCTTCAACTAACCTGCCAAACTGTGCTTTGCTACTCTTTATTCCACCACATTTACTGCATTACAATTCTTAAAAAACCTTGCATTTTTCATCAAAATTAAATTCTTTCTTTGATTGGTTTCACGAGTTGGTCTTAGACCGCGTAGTGATTGCACCTTATTTCTAGTTTCTTTTATTCCTTCGTTATTTGTTAAAATCAAATAAAAACAACAACAAATTTCATTCATGTAAATAAAATGAAAAAAAAAAAAAAAAATTAAACAAAATTTCAACGTTTTATTTCAATTTCTTTCATTTTTTGAATTTAACACAATTCAAGAAAAATCTGGTTTATTTTCCTCACAAAAAATTTTCAATGGAAAAAAAATGTCAATAGAAAAAATCAACATCAATAAATATTGAAGGTACAAAATGTTATTATCAATCAAATCACTGCGTTTTAAAGATGCCCTGTGAATTATCACCAATAATTTGAGACGGTGGAACAAAGTGCATCACATCCGTCTGATTGACATGGAATACGTTTGTCACATTTTCGAAAGGCGGTTGTTCAATAATTGCCGTTTCAGTCGCTGGCGCTTCAATGATTTGTGCACTGAGAATTTGATCGATGTTTGGATTGGTTTCGTTTCCACGCTGATGCGTCAGGTGATGCCGTTTTAATCCGCCGCTATCGTGAAACTTCTTCTGACAAATATTACATTCGAATGGTTTTACACTGGTATGTGTACGCATATGAACCGTTAAATTGCCACGGAGCGCGAAGGCTTTACCACATGTTGGACACGAATGTGGTTTAACGCTGGAGTGAATCGCCAATTTGTGACCTGGATTTTAGACACAGGTAAAAAAAGGAATGTATCTTATACACAGTGATATTAAGGGAAAACCATTAGATGAAAATAGAAGACATAGTAAAAAAAACGTATGACAAACCTTGAAGATGGCCAATTTGTCGGAATGATACTGGTGGCTGACACAAATCACATGTGAACCGTTTTTCACCCGTGTGTGTGAAAATGTGATTTTTTAAAGTCTGTTGGAATGAAAAGCGTTTCATACAAATTTTACACTCGTACTTCTTCTCCAAAGAATGAGATCTGAAATTAATTTAAAAATAACACGTTTTTCTTTTTTAAATAGAATGAAGTAGAAAATCACAGTTTGATGATTTTGTTACTGCGAAAATATTTGTGGGATTGAGTATTGGTTTAAATTTTAATGATTGAAACTATGAGCAATTTTT